CTCCTACCTCTTTTGTCTCTAACTCACTATTATTTGTCTATTTGTTTTCCTGAGAAACTATTTTGTAGATAATAATATGTAAAACGATAACCATTGATAATTTCCTACCATTTTGTCTGTAATTTGCTAAGTCCCCCCTATTATTATGTTATCCTTCTTTTACTCTTTAAAAGAAAAAAGAAAAAAAAAAAAAAGAAATACTCACCTGGCACTTATAGACCTAGGATTCTGTGTGGAGCCGACACCTCAGCTCCTGAAGCACTAAAGAGATCTGAGGAGGTTCATAGAGGCAGAAAATATGTTTGTTTTAAAGGCTGTGAAGCTCTGTGCTCCCCCAGACCCTACCCCATGTAAGTCCCCCACAGTCACATGGCAGGGGGAAGGACAGCACTTTCTAGATTTCAGTGAGTTCTCCTAGTGAACGATTGAATTTGAGCCCTTTGTTTATTTTTTCTTTCCTACCATCCCAAATTTGGCTCAGAGTCCACAATTTGTTAACAAAGACATTCCTTGAACAGGAAATTCCTAAAGTTTCTGAAACTCTCTGCAACTGGGCAGGGACATGGCCCACACCTGTTGTTTGTTTATTCTGTCTCCCTGCCAGAATCTGGTCTGTGAGAGCCTCAGGGAGGTTGTGGGAGGCATGAGCCCAGGACACAGCTCGAGTTCTGTAAGTCTTGGTTCAGAGCCTGCCTGGCCTGAAGCTGGAGTCTCGTCAGAGCAATCCCTCCGTCACTGGAACACCCTGTCCTGGCCTCCTGTGCCCTTCCCACACCATAAAAAACCATGACCACAGGGCCTTTCACTTTCACTGCCCAGCACTGGCTCCGTTTCTGGGAAGAGAAGCTTCCAGAGCTGCAGTTTCGCTTTCCTGTTCCTGGACTTTCTGTGTCCTGCACTTTGGGCCCCTCCCTTCCCTGCTGTTGCCCACATTCCTGCCTGAGGAGAGCAGAAGCCAGAGATGATTTAAGTCCTCAGAGCTCCTGAGAGGCTGTTCAGCTATTTTTGGTGAAGGTCAGCACAGTTTCCCTCTGTGCTGGCCCCCGAGCCTGGCCCTGCACTGCCCGGGACGGCAGGTGTGGGCAGAAGGTGTTTCCTGTACCCTTCAGCAATTCAGCTCTTCTAGCGGAACCTCAGGAGCTCAACTCTGACACCAGGAACCTGTTTTCTCTAAGGAGCTGGTAAGTGAGAAAACATTTTGGAATTAATACATGCCTTACAAATAGAACCATAGGTCAGTAAATCCGAGGGTGGGCGAACCTGAACGCTTGGTTCCAGGTGTCAGGAACTTAGAAGTCTGAGGCGGGGTGATGCACGGACAGCCATAAACCAGTCAGAGAATTTAAATACTTTGGATATTTCTGAGGCCAGTCAGTACTGCCCTTTGCCCTGCAGAAGGAGCATGTGAAACACAGCAGTGTCCGTGAATAGGGTCTTTCAGTGAGGAAGTCCAGCCTAATACATTGCTCATCTAAGAACTGAAATACTTCCAACTGGAAGACAGGGGATGCCGTTCAGCTGGAGGGACGCGGGCCCCGTACACCTGCACTCTGAGTCCTGTGTGCGCCTCTCCCTCCCAACTGTGCGTTTGTCCTTCGCTTCTCTGCAAAGAGCTCTGTACCCGGTGGGAGGCCCGGTGCGCCTTGAATCCCGGCCTGCCATTTAGTAAGGGTCAGTCCGTGGTTCTCTCCCAACTGCTCAGTATCTGGGATCCCTAATTTGAAGGTGAAAATCATTGGAAAGTCTTTGTGCAGCCGTTAGAATGAGAAGAGGAACTGGGCACAGATCCACACCCGAGGTTTATCCGAGCGAGGCTGACCTCGGTATGTCGCCCTCCCTCCCGCCTCTCTCCTCTCACGCTTGGCGGACACACTCCCAGCAGCTCTGAAGCGAGGCCCCAGGAACCCAGGGAGTGCTCTGCCCCAGCTACCACCCCTTAGTCGTTGAGCAGAAAACAACTTTTAACAGACGACCCCACGCACCGTATGGCTCTGTGTGGAACCTGGGCAGCAGGCCCGGGCTCTGTGGTTGCACTTTGCTCGGGACCCAGAATCCGATGTCTGCATCTGTTCTGTCCACTGTCTGTCACTCCGTCCCCACCTCCTTACCTGCTCAGGTCCCAGCACCCATCTCAGCACCCGTGTCCACGCCCCTGCTGTGCCCCGCCTGACAGCCCCTGCGATGCACAGGATGGTGCGCTGAGGCTGAAGTCGCACGGTCGGGTCCCAGCCGAGGCCCTGGCTGGGGCCGGCTCTCCCACTCCTCCGCTCCCTGATTCTGTCTTTGGCACAGCTCTGCGTCCCAGAGGAGCTGCAGGGGGCGGTGTGTTCACACCGCAGTGGGTTGGCCCCGCGGCTGCCGGACGCTCAAGGTTTCCCCTCCCGTTGCTGTGGAGAAGTTCCTGCTGGAAGGACAGAAGCGCTGACATCGTGCTCATTAGTGGCACACGCACTCCTCAGCCATCTGGTGACGTGCAGGCCTTCCTCGTTTTTGTTTCCATGGAGAATGCTTGCGTCCCTCGTCATGGACACCAAGCCAGATCTCGTCTGCCTACTCGGAAAAATTATTTCTCAGAGTGCTCTTACTCTCTCCTGTCCCCCTGGGCTGCAGCAGGGGACTTCCAGGGAGCCTCTGGAGGGTCTGCCCGGCCCCTCACTTGCAGCCAGAGGACACGGCTTAAACCTGTCTTCTGCCCAGACATCAGCTTTGACCTGAGGTTTCTTGGTTCCTGGTCTAGTAATTCTATGCTTTCTCTCTGTGAGGTGCAGTGTAGAAGTCTTGCCCATCGTTCATTATATTTTGTCCTGGGCATGTGATTTTTTTTCCCCATCTTAACAGAATAAGTCTCCATCATCACAAAGGTCCAGGACTGTAGAGCCAGGGCAAATCCCCTGACACGAGGGAGACCTCCTTGCTTTGTCCACCCCATACAACAGCTCCGTGACCCCTCCTGCGGCCTGTGCTCACCCCTTCGCCTCATGACTCCTCGTGAGGTCTTCTCCCCACCACTCTCCCTGCCCTAACGAGTCCCCCAGTGGCTGCTCTCCCTGCCTGGCTGTTGGCCCCTTTATTCACAAGCGAGGCTTTGGTGAGGAGTGGGCCCCCCGGAGAGGTGGGCTGGTTTTACACAGTCCCAAGTAAATAATCAGCATGTTTTTCTTTTTCTTTCTCTTTATAATTTTATTTTGAGAGTAGTTTCAATTGTAGAGAAAATATCTGAAGAACGTACAGAGGGCTCCGCACTCCCACTATCTCTATGCCCCGCCAGAGCGGTGCAGACGAACCTGCGCTGCGCGGCATGAGCATTCGCAGTGAGGAATTTCGAGCTGGCCCTTGCGGTGCGGCCGCCAAGGGTCAAATGCACCCGTGTCACATCAAGTATTTCATGTCTGAAAGTCCTTCATGCTGCGTCTTTGCACCCCCAACCACCAACCCCAACAACCACTGATATTTCAAACTTTTCATACTTTTGCCTTTCCTAGAATCTCATAAAGTTGGACTCATACAGTGTGTAGTCTTTGGACTTCTTCCATTCAGTAATATGCATTTAGGGCTTGGCTTCCTCCAAGGCTTTCCCTGGCTTGAAGGCTCAGTTCTTTTTAGTACTGAACATATTCCACTTGCTGGTGGGACCAGGGTTTATTAATCCACGAGTGTACAGAAGGAGAGTAGCTGTAACGAAGCCCTGGCATTACAGATAAATTGTCTAGAAACATCAATGTGCAGGTTTTAGTGGGCACAAAAGTTTTCAGCTGTGCTATGTGATAGCCAGGACCCTGTAGGTTCAGTATGTTTAGTTTTGTAAGAACCTTGCAGACTGTCTACTGAAGCGGATGTGCAGCTCTGCGCCACGCCTACAGCAGAGGGCCCAGCTCTCCCGCACCCTTGCCAACCCTGGCTGCTGTCTGTGTTCCTGACTGCGGCCAAGCCCACTGGTGTGTGCTGGCATCTCGTGGAACTTTTCGTTGTGTTTCCCTTGTGGCACACTGGGGGAGTGTACTTCCATCTCTGTGTCTTCTCTGCTGATGTGTCTGCTAAGGTTTCAGCTCATTTTTAATAGTGTTGTTTGTTTTCTTATTGTTTGGTTTTAAAAGCTCTCAGTATATTTTGAATTACAGTATTTCATCAGCTGTATCTCTTGCAATTTTTTTTCTTGAAACAGGAGACTGAGTCCAGACCCTTTGCTCTGAGCTACATCCCCAGACCTAAGTTTTACAGGCTGGTGTTGCATTTGTGATCCTCCTGCTTCAGCCTCCCAGTGTGCTGGGATCACAGGTGTGCACCACCACACATGGGTCTTTTGCAAATATTTTTTCCCAGTTGTTGGACTGTCTTCGTTCTGTTGATACTGTCTTACCTCTTAAAAAAATTTAAATTTTAACAAAGTACACCTTATCAACTTCTTTGTGTTTTTCTTTCCTGTTGTATTTTTTAAAAATTGCCATACCCTGGGCCATACAGATTTTCTCCTCTGTTACCTTCTTGGATTTTGATGGCTTTGCATGCTACATGTAGATCTGTAACCAATTTCATGTTCATTTCTGTGGGGATGTAAATTCTATATCTAGATGCACTTTCCTATGGGTGGCTGTCTGGTTATACCAGTACTTCTTCTGAAGAGAACATCTTTCTCCTTTGTATTGCCTTGGCATCTTCACCTAAGATCACTTGACTATATTTTTCTGTTGTCTTGGTCCACTCTTGTATCTGTCTATTCTTTCACAAACATCACTGTTACAGTTTGTGTCTGGGTGTCCCCCTAAAGTCGCATGCAGTCATGGGAAGGGCTTCTAGAGTTTAGGATTGATTCATGGTCCAATGTCGGGATTATGGGTGTGAGAGCTACACCTGCCCTGGGGCGGGTAGTTTGCATACAATATAAGGATATTTCATCTCAGCAAGGAGAGAAAAGTAACCAAGAAGTGTTCGAAGTGTTTGTGACGATTGTAGCTTTAGAGTTAGTACTGTAGCCAGGAGTCACTGCCACACAGCAGCGGGAAGTGGTGTTCTGTTGCTGCCTTTTAGATGGCCACCGTGTGCAATTATTTTCCCAACAACAAAAACAGCTAAAACAATATAAATACTATAAAGAGACAGGAACGTTTCAGTGGGAAATCAGACCTTGAATTTAATGAGGGATTCTGAAAGGAACAGGAGCAGTCTAAGGCAAAGAAAAAGCCTGGACGGGGACCAAGTCTGCACCTGCAGCAGAAGTCCCAGCCACACCAGGGAACAGAGAGTGAGCACTTTTCCACTGTAGTGTGGGACTGGGGGCGTGGCTCTGTTGTGACAGGAAGACCCAGGTCTTTCCTGTGTGCTAACTCCTGACCTTCCCACTTGTGTCTTCCACTAGTTTCCTCCACGGTTCCAGGCCATGCCTCGGTCCTGTTCCTCCACACCGTCTCCATAGAGGGTGGGACTTCTGCCTGTTACAGCCTTTGCACACTTTTTAAAAATTTCAAGATGGAAAGTCAAATCTCCTCACAGGAAATCTGGGCTGTGATTCGGTCACATCTGGAGGAGGGGGATGTTCGGAAAGCAGCTTCCGCCATCAAAGCTGCCTGGAAAGACATTGAGAACGCACCCCTGAGCATTGCAGTGATTGGGGAGACTGGAGCAGGAACATCCACTTTCATCAATGCCCTGCGGGGCATGGGACATGAAGAGGAAGGTGTGGCTACCACTGGGCCGGTGTTGACGACCGTGCAGGGAACTGCATACACTTTTCCAAAGTGTCCAGGTGTGACACTGTGGGACCTACCTGGCCTTGGGTCCACTGACTTCCAATTACAAAAGTATCTGAATGAAATTGCTGATTATGACCTCTTCTTTATCATCTCTGCTACCAGCTTCAAATACAATGATATACAGTTGGCTAAAGCCATTGCAGAAATGAAAAAGAAGATCTACTTTGTTCGAACAAAAATTGATCACGATTTAGTCACTTCTCAAAGATTTAAGCCAATGACCTTCAATAAGGACGAAGTCCTGCAGCAGATCCAAAAATACTGTCTGACACAGCTGCAGGAGGCCAGTGTGACAGTTGATAAAATCTTCTTTGTCTCCAGCCTTGATGTATCTGACTACGACTTCCCTGTGCTGGAGACCACGCTTCTGAAGGACCTGCCGGCTCACAAGCGTCACATCTTCATGCAGTGCCTGTCCACCCTTACAGAAACCACCATTGATCAGAAGAGAGACTCCCTGAAGCAGAATGTCTGGCTGGAGGCCCTGAAGGACGGACTGTTCGCTGCCATCCCCCTCGTGGGCCTCTTCAGTGATAGTGAAATGAAGAAGCTAGAGGAGACTTTGGCCCTGTACAGGTCTTCTTTTGGGCTGGATGATGAATCACTAGAACAGATGGCAGAGGATTTGCACGTGTCCCTGGAGAACCTCAAGGCAAACCTTCAATTTCCCCACTTGCTGTCGGCTGAGAGCGATGAATCTTTATGGGAGAAGACGAAGCAGATTGCTGAGACATTCCTTGCAGTCACTGGAGGACCCATCGCCACCGGCCTTCACTTCACAAAGACCTTTTATTTGCAAAATTATTTCCTTGACACTGTGGCAAGTGATGCGAAAGCTCTCCTGAACAAAGAAGATCTTTTTGGTGACTCTGTGGGCTCTGATTAGGGCAACAGAAAATAGGGAAACCGAGGCAGCCAGCCTCTTCCTTAGCTGCATTGTTCTCATGATTCGGCACCGGGAAGGCGGTGTAGGATTCCCTGAGGCAGCTGGACCGCGCTGCGATGCACCCAGATGTGACCACCGCTGGGTGAATAAAATACAGGAATCTGGGGTTTTGGGCTAAGAGGAGAGGACATCTGGCTGTGCCCTGGTTATCTGACACCCAGGGCTCCTCTTACTGAAGGTGCAACAGCAAGGAACTGCTGGGCTGTCAGTGAGACTTCAAACACATTGTAAATGGACGTGTACACTGCATGTTTTCAGTGTTCCTGGCATTCTGCTACCAATGTACCCATTCTGGTCATTAGCAGGAGAATTAATGTTGGATGACATCCTTTTATTCCTTTAGGATTATCGTTTTCTTGAGTAAACATGCAAGCTAATGAGCTACAAGTTGTGCAACAGGTCATGAAAGAGAATCACTACCTAAGTCAAACCTCCATTGGTGCCCTGTGCAAGGACAAGGCACAAGGTGGGGATGCTGTGCAGAGGGTGTGTGCTGAGGCTCAAGGGATCCTGGGTCATTAACTTGGGACATTTCTCCCTGAACTTCAGAGGTTAAGAACCAGGGGGGAAGAGGATAATAATAAAGTTAAGCAGGGGTAAAAGAAGACATATAAAAATTTCTGAAATATACAAAAACATGTTCAAGCTCTCATCTAATAAGGGAAATTAAATTAGGAAATGTACACCAAGATTCAATTTCTATGCTATTGTATTTGGGGAAATTGCAAAAATTTAGTTTATGGGTGAAATTGTAGAAAATTGCATTATATGTATGAAGCTGCTGCCAGTAGAAAAATGAATAAAAACTACAATTGGGAAATTAGACAATCTTTGTGGAAATTTATACATATGTTTGAGCCAATGACCCCACTTTAAACAGTCTGAGCCTTCAAAGTTTGGAAAAGTACAAATAGCTATATGCTGAAGGTTGCTGAACTCAGCTCTATTTGAAATGGGAATGGGGAAGACCACACATAACTCAAATGCCCTTTACGAGGGTTCATCCACAAAACAGAAGCCTTAATAGCTTAATAGCATGTAGGGCTGGGGATTTAGCTCAGCGGCAAAGCGCCTGCCTGGCAAGCACGAGGTTGTGAGTTTGATTCCTGGTACCAGAAAAGAAAAAAATAGCTTAATATCATGAATGAAGAGTATCCTGCTTGTCATTTCCAGGGTGTGTAAAGTATCAAAACAAGGTGTAGGAATATGTATACAATAACTTGCTTCTGGTTCAAGAAGGTTGAAAACATAGATACATTTTATGCATAAAGAATGGAGACAACCTTAGAAATAAAATGGTTTTTTGTTTGTTTCGTTGTTTTTTGGTTTTTGGAGACAGGGCCTTGCTATGCAGTCCAGGGAGAACTTGAACTCACTATGTAGCCCAAGCTGGGCTCAAACTCATGGTGATCCTACTGCCTCAGCCTTCCCAAGTCTGGGATTACAGACGTGTGCCACCCTACCCAGCCAGATGTAAGTATTTTTAGAGGAAAAGATGTTTTTGATTGGAGGGACAGGGCATAAAGCTAGATTTAATTGAATACATATTTTTTTACCTTGTTCCCCTGAAAATGTTTATATACCTAAGTAGCTACATTATCAAATATTTAAAACTACATTTATAAAAATGCAGACCAAAATCAAACACACTAATCTCAGCTGGTTGGCCTAAACAAAACTTACTTTAGGGTTTTCAGACATATCATGAGGAAAGTGAATTTCTGGTGGTCTACAAGGTAAGAACAGACACAAACTAGAGAAGTCTTACACTATTTTGTAGCACTACCGAGAACAACAACAGTAGTTGCGATGGCTTCGTTTTACTCTGTATACGTCACTGTCACAAAGCAAGTGCAGGATTATGATACCATTAGATAGAAGAAGGATGTTCACCATAAACCACAGGGACACTGATATAGAAAAGGAAAGCCAGTGAAAAGCTGTTCAGGAAATTGCAAGTATGAACGCATGACATTTTTTCCTTTAAAAACCTGTCTTAATCTGTGCAAAGTTAGAGAAGGCCTAGAGGAACAAGTAATCCAGGAACAATGAACCCTTGGTCATCCACGCAGGGCCTCAGAACGCCGCCTTACAGTTGTTATTGTTATTACTAAAGAAGTAATAAATTCATACCCAGGATCAATAAATTGTATATGCTTTTTTTTCCTCTAAATTTTATACTTTATTAGCATAAAGTTGATCCAAAGCATTCTGTTACCTTTTCTCGATTTTAATTTTGGTAGCGCATGTTTGCAGTACCCAGTGATCAGATGCTTTCTGGGGAGTCATGCCTGCTTACAACACTGCGCACTTCTTTTTTCAGCCCCTTTCCTTCCTCTCCCTCCCCTTTCCCTCCATTTCTTGGTCCCCAGAGGAAACAGAGAGACAGATCTTTCCCAATTCCATACTTAGTGCATTAGTCAGACCCCAGGAGAGTTGGGGAAGCTGGGCACGGTGGCACAAGCCCGTAATCCAAACATCCTGGGAGGCTGAGACAGAGGACAGCAACTTTGAGTCTAATTAGCAACTTAGCCAAAATTTGTGTCAAAATTCAAAAAAGAAAAAAATAAAGTATATGTAGCTCTATGAAACCCCGGGTTCGGCTCCCATACTGTAAAATATTGGAGGAAAATTAGATCTGGGCAATGGTCATCTCTGACTGCTAATAAAAAGCACAGCAAGCAGGTATTTTATGCCTCCCGGTGAAAGTACAGAGCTAGTCAATAAGTTTTCTTGCTCAAATAGAGATCTCTCAGGAAGACTTCTGAAAGTGTGGAGACCACACAGCGGTATTTAATGATACCTTGTAAACAAAATGATCAAATTCAAGGACCACGGGAAACTCTAAAGTACATTTTTTAAACCTAATAATGGGAAAGGAAAAGAAAAAACAAGTGGTGGGGAACCTATGGTCTAAAGGAGAAATTACACACATGGAAAAATGCGGAATGTGGGCTTTAAGAAGAGGCTGACTCAAATATAAATGGGTTTTATGAGAAAACTAGGCAAATTTGAACGTTGGCTGCTGGCTGATGATAAGGAAAGACTGGCAATTTTATGCATGAAAACGGCATTGTTCCGGTCCATGGAAAAAGTGCCCTTATCTTTTATACTTACTACTTTTGGCTGATTATAAGGAGTAGAATTTTCATTAAAAATCGTGGGGAAAAGCCAGGGGTTGTGGCACATGCCTGTAATCCAAGCAATCCAGAGGCTGAGGCAGGTTCAAGTCCAGCCTGAACTGCATAGTGAGACCTTGTCTCAAGCAAGCAAACAAACAAACAAACACAATGTGGAATTGTCACAGATAAAAGCAGATTAGCCTGAGTTCTTAATCACCGAAGCTGAGGGAGGCAGTTATTACAATAGTCTGTCAATATGGTATGTATTTAGAACCTTCCACAATAAGAAGCCAGATTTAAAAAAAAAAAAAGTAAGACCTGCAGAGTGGAAATCTGACTCCCAAAATGACACTACTTAGAAAGCCAGTTGATCACCCCTCCATTTTAGAAGGGAGTCCCATTGTGGGTGGTGAGACACATTCACTTCAGTTCCTGACTCGATTCCTCTGGGATGCCAGCTAGCAAAGAGCCGTGCCGTATTATGTGATAAATGTCATTTCCATCGCAGTGTGGCTTTCTTCCTCACTGCTTTGTCCCCTGTACCTAGAGCAGTGTGTGACATACGCCAGACACTCAAGTGCTGTGGAAGCAACTCTGCTTACCCACACGGATCAAGACCAACCGCATTTAAAATGTTTCATTTCCCAAATCCTCACCTTCCTGCCCTGCCTGCAAGCTCTTCAAGTCACTCTTCTTACCCAGCCCCGTGGGCTACTACGGAGTCAAGTCTTTCTGAGTCACAGTGAGGGTGTTGAAGCCCAAAGTGGTCTACAGCCCATTTCCTAGCTGTGTGAAGCCCACTGGACCTAAAGCTCTACTTGAGCTATGATCTGTCTTTGCCCAAGCTTTGGACTCTGTTGCACTTAGACAGGCCAATGGCATTTTACACCTCCCCTCTCTGCACCCCAGGGTGCTGCTTGCTCTTGGGCTCTTCCTTCCAGGCTGCACTGCACACTTGCCCCGGCTCACCCTGCGGGTGGCAGGAACTGCATCATTCCTCCCCGGGAGTGTCTCCCCTTGGGTTAAAGAAGCCTGTTGCAAACTCTGCTCAGATCCCGTTCACAGAACGGAACGATAAATGGGAAAGAAGTTTTCAGGCTTTCATCACTTTCTATAATATACCTGGCTCCCCTGCCTGGGGATCTTGGGTTAGGTGTATGCACAAGTGCATTACACACACACACACACACACACACACACACACACACACTATTATAAAATTGTACTTACCATTAATTTTTGGACATATTCTCTACTCCATTCCATTCTATCATTTAAAATGTGGGTTTGAGCCACTTGGCTGCTTCTCTAGCTCCCAGATGGTCATATTCCATATGTGCAAGTGAAAAAATATATACAAATATACATGTATAAAGAGAGACAGAGACAGAGAGACAGAGTCTGCCAAAAATGCATACTCACTTCAGGAAAAGAAAACATAAGTATTCTAATATTAAATTTATTGAGACAGCACGAGATTAACAAGTTACCTTTCACAACCTCAGTTACAGAAGATGCTCAAAGTAGTGGCCACCGGCTTCCAGACACTTATTAGTAAGGCGAACTGCTGCTTGGGTAATCTTGGTAACTGAGACAGCTGCACATGCATTTTCAATTTCTTCCCTAGGGCTGGAAGTGTAGTGGGTTTCCTGGGATATATGAGATCCTTTGGGGTCCCCTCGTATGAGGGTAGTACCATCTGTTGAAAAAAATTCACGCTATTATTTTTCTCCTCCTGAAGTGCGTGTATGTCTCTTTGGCAGACTCTGTACATCTGGCCTTACCAGGGTCATGTGTCTTTGATGGCATTCACACAGCTCTCTGACCCCAAGTGACCAGAGAAGAAGACTAGCCATCTCCTAACAGGCCACCACGACGGGACTCTAGACCGAAAGCACAATCCCTAACTCTGTTTGTTACAGTTCCATATGCAGTAATCTCTGTTGAGTAAAGGAATCCAAGTCTTGTGCTCACCTCCTCAGCACTAGACTTTGTAGGATCCACTCAAAATTAGAATGACCTTGTCATGCTTGACCTGAAGGAGACACTCTCAGCAAACATGCTGCCCTCTGCAAAGCACAGGACACCACTATGAGCCATACTGCCCAAACATCCCAGATGGCCGTAAAGAAAACTCAGGACAGGACAAACAATCTGCCTTTGCCAGAAAGTTCGCACTGACCATCCTGGGAACGATGACCCAAACGCTCCACCCAGATTCCTTGATATTATAACCCCATCCCCAAACCCTGTATAAACTGAACTTCTCCGGCCACCTGCTGACGTTATTCAGGATCTCAACCTGTCCACAGCCAGATAGAAAAAACCCAACCTTTGCTCACACAAAGCCCGTCTCGGGCTGGTTCCTCCTGAACTTTCCGTATTGTGTTTATTTAGCTTCCTTCTGTACCTAAAGGTGGAAATTTCCAACATGGAAGGACCAACAGCGTTGTTTCATGGTTTGTAAAAAGAACAGCAGATAATGTCTGCATATTTTTGTACTACTCCTTTCCCTGCCAGGAGGTCTGCATCAGAGCCAAAGTGATACAGAGCTCATTTGAGCGAGTTGAAAGTGTGACCAGAGTGGTCACCTGTTACTGTTACCATTTGTCAGAAACATCCACACAACCGGGAAACCATTCCAAACAGAAAGGCTCTTAATCTGCGTTTGCTGTTAACAAATCAGGAACGGTAAACTAATCATGAAGACTAAACGCAATTTTTGTCATCAAACTTTACTGATTCTAACTTTCATGTTAGAAAAAATGGTAAGAATGAACAGTTTATTAATTATTAGGAAAGGTTGAATGAAAAAATATATTTTTCATTCCATTTCTATCCTTTCCCTTCTGTCCCTTTAGGTCTCTGCTCCCCACCCTGGATTTCCCCTGTGACCAAGTCATAACATGTTTTATTACATTCGTGTTACTAATCTCATTCTGCCTGTACACAGTGCAATCTTATGCATATTAGTAGGTTATTATGTAATCCAAGTATTTTTATTGCTTTATTTTTCTGTTTTTGCTTTCTTATCTGCAAAGCATGGCCTTGACTCAGGTTGAGACACCCGCAGAAAGGAAGGGAAATGTTCTGATTTTTTTATTTTTATTTTTTTTTTTTTTGAGACAGGGTCTCCTTATACAGTTCAGGCTGGCCTTGAGTTCCCTTTGTAGCCAAGGCTGGTCTC